ATAAAAAAGAACCGGTTACCAATTTTACTGATGTATAACAATGTTCAGAATTCTACAAGAAGAAAGACTTTGCCTAATAAAATAATATAATAATAAAACAAACGGAAACTTCAGTACACTGTAATCTTGAAAAAAATAGTAAAAAGGACATGAAGTTGGGAGGGGGTAGAGGGTTGGGGTAGATCTTGGAGCAGTTATGTAGAGAGGGTGAGGGGTTAATATGATTAAAATCCAGTGTATGCATGTATGAAATTCTTAAAAATTAATAAAAATATTAAAAAAGAAAAAGATTAGCAAATATATCATATGAAAGATAACCAGTCTTTAAAATTGATCCACATATAAACAGAAAATTTATTCATGATACAGCAGGCATCACACAACAGTGACAGAAATCATATTCTGCTTAATACATGACTCCAGGACAAACTAGTATTTAGTTGGAAACCTGAAAACATTCTCCTTTCCTATGGACAGTAATCAAATTATACATTGAAATGGAAAAGACAAAATTTTAGTGCTTTGACAAGCCACAGTCAAATATCTTTTGATGTGCAAAGTTCCCTTTTAAGAACACATGCAGATTAATAATAATGCCAAAAAAAATCAAGAATAAAAACTGCATAAGTGGCTCATTAGATTACAAGTAATGTTCAACATCCTGTCATAATAAAAGCCCAGAATCTACTAGGAGGAGAAGGATCATATTTCAACATAATAAAAGCTTATACTATAAAATAACATTAACTGAAGAAAAAAACTGAATTTCTCAAAGATCAGGAAAAATACTAGGTATACACACATGACTCTTCTTGAGTATAGTACTAACATATTAGCCAGGGCAATTATGCAGGCAAAAGCAATAACAGGCATACAAATCAGAAAGGGGGAAGTAAACCATCCCTGTGTGCTGATGATATGGAGCAGCACACAGAACACCAAGGCCAGGTATTGTATGCATACCAGCACATGGGAAGCTAAGACAGCAGGATTAAGAGGTCCGAACCAGCTAGAGAACATACTCTATGTGAAAAAAGAAAACCACGTGAAAGGAAAACCACAGAAAGACGAAAAAGATTCCACCAAAAAGGCTTTTAGATATTTTACTATTTAGTAAGGCAGTAAGACACAAAATTAACACAAAAGGTCTAGGACAGTTTCTCCCTGCCAGTAATAAACTGCCTCATAGAGACATTATCAGGAAGGAAACTCCATTCATAATAGCTACATAGACAAAACAAAATGCATAAGACAAACTTCATTAATGATGTGAAAGTCTTCTACAATGACAATTTTAGAACACTGAAGAAAGAAATTAAGACACTAGAAGAGGGAAAGATCTACCACAGTCATGGGTTGGGAGAATCAATATTGTTAAAAGGATCATTCTTCCCAAAGTAATAATACAGATTCAATGCCACTGCATAACATTATCACATTATACATACAACTAGAAACAATAGCATTAAAATTCCTATGAAAGTACAAACAACCTGGACAAGCCCAAGGGATCCTCAGCAAAAAGAGCAAAACTGGAGGCTTCACATTATTGCACTTCAAAACAGCACAGTTCTACAGTGAAAACAAAAGAAAACAGCACAGAACAGAACAAGAACCAGTGCGGTGCTGGCGTACAGACATGGAGACCAAGGGAAGAGAATAGAGAACAGAACAAGAACCAGTGCGGTGCTGGCTACAGACATGGAGACCAAGGGAAGAGAATAGAGAACAGAACAAGAACCAGTGCGGTGCTGGCTACAGACATGGAGA